TTGGAGTTGAGAGTTGGGAGTTGGAGTTTGGAGCCCTACCAAACGGGGCCTAAGACTGAACACTAGGTTATACGCTGTATATGATCCAAACATGGTTTGTATCATCGGTTTGAAATTTTGGATTTATAGGTGATCTTGTACATGGTTTCTCGATCTGGCAGCGTCCCCATACGTACGAGCAGTGATTTCTCACTACTACAGAAAAGATTTTTGCAAGCGGTCAAAACCTATCTTAGCATGTGGTTGGACGTCCGCATGCACCTAGGTATGTGCAAAAATTAGTATTTTCGCATGCGGGCGACCCATTATTCGCTTTTCAGGGGAGCGAATTTTGTAGGCACGACAGTTATGGCCCATATACAACTTAGAGGGGCCTTGTCCGAAAAAATCGTTTCTATAATATTGTCTTTTTTGGCTCAATTGCAGCTAAAACCTAACAGTAAATTTCATAGAACCCTATATTTATAGTTAAATTACGTGGTATAAAGCCCTAGTTATTTTGATTTGTGGCACATAACATTAGGGCATTGTGGTTATAAAGTATTACAAAACCCTTCGATATATATTGTGTATACTTACATTTAAAAATATAGTGTCTATGAATTATGATCTCTTTTTTTTATAATTATTGAGTTCTTAAGTTGATATTTTAACTTCACTACTTTGAAAAAATTATTGTTTAGGATATGCTGAAATTAATCGAGATTTGAATAAAGGTAGGGTTTTATAAAACACTTATAAAATCTCATGTGGTTATGTGCCACAGATACATACGATTTTCTATAATTTTTTTGACTGAAAGAACTACCGGGGCTTTGCCCAGTAGTGTTTTTTTATAACTTTATAACTTTAACTTGATAAAGGTGGATATTTTAAATTTTACTCAAAATTTAATTTTATGATTGATTTTGGATTTTTTTATCATAATATATTTTTCAGCCTTAATTTGGAAACACAATTTTTCAGCCTTAATTTGTAAACACAAATATAAATTTTTACCTACAAAACATTTTTATATCAGTAGCTTCTAAAACAAGAAAACTGTGAGGACTAGCATTTTCGTTGCCAGGGACACGTGCGGCTAGTGGTCACGGCAGGGGGAATTAATCTAATCCCGGGGTATTCAATTTCAAGCCTGTTGCTTCCGGACGTAGAGTACTCTATCCATTCTAAAATAAAATAACTTCTAGCATTTAAATTTTTTTTCTAAACTATAATAATATTTTCACCTAGATTTACTTCTCAACCAATCAAAATCTTCTCCTAGTTAATTTCATATACTTTAGTAGTCCTTGAGTGGATGCTAGCCAGGGTTTGACTTACCGTCGGTAACCGTAGGTAACCGTACGGTTACCGTGGTTACCGGGCTTACCGCGGGGTACGGTAATATAAGTACCGCGGTAACCTCCTTAAATTCAAATAAATTTAAAAAATAATTTAAATTTTTGATAAATTTTGTACGGTTTTATACAGTTTTTCACGGTTACCGCGGTTACCGCGCGGTAACCGTGCTTACCGCCGGGGTGCGGTAACCCTGGCCCCGACGGTTTTGGAAACCCTGATGCTAGCCAAAGCCTCATCAACAGAAGAGAGGACAATATCAACTCTCATAGTAGATAACATGCAAAGTATTTCAGACATTCTAGCTTGCTTACTAGCAACTGTTAAATCTGATAATACTACGTAAAATCATGCTATAATGCTCTGGGTTTATTTGGAAAGTTAGGAATGATATTACTTTAAAAGGAAATTAAGAATGGGAACCTATGTAAGTATATTATATGTAATGCAGCAGATGTCATGTCTAATAATTTCACTAAAATGTTGAGCTTTGAAGCAAGGGATGACTATATGGGAACTCTGGAAGATAATCCTAATATCTCTATTAATGTTTTGCCTGAAAATAGATGCTATATATGTTGATGCCTCCCGGATGGAAGATCAATCAGGCTTTGGCATTTTCATTCATGACTCCATAACTCTCAAGGCTATCTTTATTCAAGCAAAATCTTTTCTTATACCTCTTGTATTCAAGCTAAACTTGCAGGTATATCAATCTGACAATTTGCATATGTAAGGAACTTATCATTTCAAATCAATCAGGACCTGGTACGTACTACTTCTAAGATAGCAGAATTATATAACTAAACCTTATCCAGTTATCCCTGGAGCTTGTTTCCTCTTCTATCAAGAGTAAATCAATTTTAGGTGGAGCTACAATATTCGATAGATTTCAAGATAAATGAATAAGATGGCTGACTACCTTTTAAAAAAAATCTAGGGACAAATATTAATAGTTCTACTAAAACAGTTTGTCAAAATTTTTCTTACTTATATCATCATAATGGTTATCCTACTATGGAAGTTCTTTAATCAACTTTAATGGCTGAAGATGTATCTTTTATCCATGTACTGTACTTTTAATGTTTAATATAATGATTTTTTAAAAAAAGAAAAGGAAGAAGTGAGGAAACTCCAATTCTCTGTGGTGTAACCCGGTATTCTCATGTACTTCGCTCTTGACCGTGAGAGGTTTTGTACATGCATCAACGACGGAGGTGAGGTGACGCGCGGTGTTAACCTTTCTTCAGGTCCTTGTGTGCGTTCGCTGCCAACCTCGATCGCTCCATTAAGGGAAAATTTAAAAAAGAACATATCAAAAGTCACTTGAAGTTTGATATTCCATCTCATATATAAGACATTTTTTTACTTAAATCTCATAAGTCATTTTGATGCAAATATCCACCCTATACTTGGTTTTGTTGTAAAAACCATCCTAGTGCACATATGCTTAACCAAATCAGCTTGTTATCACTGATGTAGAGCCACCACAGGTTAAGCTAATTGAGTCAATCTTGTCCTAGTATTTGCATTAAACTTATTCTTTATATTTTTTTCTGCATATAGCAAAACTAGGTGCAGCAATTTTTAAGCTTTCATTAGCAATTCTATATGTAGAATCTCAAAAAGAAATTGTTAAGACTATTCTTCTAGAAGTATTAAATTATGTGAAGACCACATTGACGGTTCACAATTTATGAAAATATATTGATTCGGTCAAGCATGTGTGCACTAGGGTGGATTTTCAACAAAACCGAGTATAGGGGTGAGCATTTGCAACAAAATGACTTATGGCGTGGAATGTTAAACTTAAAGTAATTTCTAGGTGGTTTTTTCATTTTTTTTCTCAATGGAGGGGAACAAGAGAGGGAGCAATGTATATGATCAATAGTGTTTGTCATGACGTACCGACTGCTCCAACCCCCAACCGCACGCAACATTGATTGGATTTTGAGCCAAAAGTCTTGGGATCATCCTACAATGTCTCTGAGAGAACGTTCCATTTGTTGAATACATGTGTGTATACTTGTTAGGCAGTCCCTCTGTGTTTCTCTTACTGTTTTGTACATAACACATGGTCTATCTTCAACCCCATGCAATGTTTGTTTGAAGTAAACTCTAGTTTTTTTTTCTTAAAGAAAATAAATGTGAAGGACTGGAACAAGGCGGGAAGCATTTTAAGCACTCAATGTCTATATCCTAGTTTGTTGTAACCAATATGAATAATTGCAAAATATTTTGACAATATGGATTACTATTTACTCCATTTGTCTTCAGTTGTCATAAGATACAATTACTCGGAATACTAAGAACTACTCTCCCCACCCAACCACCACCCCTCAATTCAATTTTCACCAAATCTCGCTCTCAACCACTCTCTCACTCCTTAGCTATTCACATGGTCATCTCCCTTCGTACTTAATCTCTATCTCTATTATTATAAAAATTGAAAATGTTTTCGTTAAAATTTTGGTACGTTATCCGTGTTTGAATTGGTTCTATGTCACCCATATCCAATTCGACGTGACTTTAGAATAACTACTATACACCCCTTTCTAACCCTAAATTCTAAGTCATATTTCTTTTATCATCAAGACCAAAAAGAATTGACTCATCCCTCATCCCTCATGTAACAAAACTAAGAAACAATATGCATACATGCAACCAATGAATATTAAGATGGTTGCTTGGGTTCAGGGGCGGATCCAACGTGGGTGCAGGGGGGACTCGAGTCCCCTCTACACCCACAAGACCCATGGATACCCCCGGAGCACCCCCTTCAATTTTTTCACCATGAATAATAAACTAAAGGCTCCTAGATGGCTGGAGGTTGAAGAAACTGTGTAATTGAGCCCCCCCTCCAATTTTTTTGTTCTTGGATCCGCCCCTGCTTGGGTTCCAGTCAACAATTTAATTTAGCATGTTAAAAAAAAGACAACACTTTCAGTTAAGTCTTAGATATATGGAGACTACAAATAAGCTCATCTCATTTGGAAAACCCAGAAAATAAAATAGAACCAAGACTTTTGGATGGAGGGAATAACAAAAAAATATAGTATTCTAAAGGCAAAAGACTATAAAGGGAGGGGGTTTTTTTTATTGGGATGTTGGGGGCGGCCAGGCCACCTCCAGCTCTTTTCACTCCTGGCTAACCCTAGTACTAGTATTGCATTCTACGAAAGTGAAAAGGGTGTTTATTTTCACCACCCTAGGATTGACACTTCACATTTATTTAGAGTGAACACACATGTTGTTTCACCCAAAAAAAGAATTCTTGGATGTTCAAAATTATTTGCCGAATGTACTCGATGCATGTGTGCAATCTATGTGAGGTTTTGTGCAGAGATCAAGTTTGGGGCATGCATGAGTTGTACTACGGGAAGAGAATGAAGTGTGTGGAGTTAAGCTAAACTAAAAACGGACAATGTATCTGTAAATCAGTGCACCGAAATTCAAAAAGCTTTCCGTTTTTTATTGACTTAAGCTGCAGCAACTTGCAAGCTACATGCCTATAAATACTACAAGGCTACATACCCTAAGAGCATCAAACACACACACACATAGGCAACAATGGCAAGCAAACAGGCAATGAACTCTGCCTTGTTCTCTGCATTGGTTGTTGTGGTCTTGGCTTCTGCTGTGAATGGGCAACTAAACCCATGCCAAGCACCGGCACCAACCCCGACTGGAACTCCAGCCCCAGCACCAGCCCCGGTGGTGACACCGACGCCCGCACCAACTCCAGTCCCGACGCCATCGCCGGCACCAACACCTTCACCCACCGTTGCCCCTGTCAATCCGCCATCTCCGACGCCGCCTCCCAAGTGTCCGCTGGCGTTAATTAATCTCAACGCGTGCATTAGTGTCGGTCTTGGCAACCCGCTCTTGAACCAGGCGTGCTGCTCGCAGCTCTCCAGCCTCCCGAGCGACACCGCTGCTGTCTGCCTTTGCGAAGCCATCAAGGTTAATGCTCTCGTCAATCTGAAGGTCAAAATCCCCGACATCCTTAAAGTATGCGGGAAGGTCTCCGCTGTAGTTTGTGTTTAATAAGTACGTCGAGAGATAGCGTGCATATATATACGTACGTACGTATGTATGTACATGCTATACATAGGTGTGCAGCATATATATATATATATATATATATATATGCTGTGTGCTTGCCTCTACATATATACTGTATTAAACTTTTGGACGACCCAAATATATATCCGCCAGCAGCATGCGTGCGCGTACGTGCCGTGCTTCATGGAGGTAGGGTCTTAATATCCATATATGTTTAAGAATAATTAAGTTACAGGATCTGGGATTGTGCTATATATGTATGTGTACACACACGTGGCTTGATCATATCATTATGTGTACGTGCTAGAAGATTTGATTGTGTACTGATCTGTGTGTATGCATGCCTGCCTACAAAATCAAAATATAGTGGGTACAAGTGTATGTGATAATATTTCCTCATTTCCCTCTCCATACTGATAGCTACTCTTTCCTTCTTATTTTATAATTTAAGTTTGATCAAGTTTAAAGAAAAATATAGCAATATTATCAACACAAAACAAATATATTATCAAAATATATTAAATGTTAATATTAATAAAACTAATTTGTTGTCGTCCACAATGTTAAATAAGTCTGACTAAAAAAATCAAAACAACTTAATATATAAATAAAGAGTGCTATTATACTATGGTCTGAAAATGATTTACCTGACTCCTGCGGGAAACCCCCCTCCCCAAGACAAAAGAGAAGACTCGTTGCACCATGTAAACTTCACTAGTTCTTCATGTACACAGCTGCACAAGTTCCCCCATTGGAAGGCGTATGCATGAAGATGGGAACTGGAAATAGTGAATCTAATGGCAGATATCATAAGCTTAAAATTTGATAGCATTTCGCAAACGAAATCGAGATAACTGTTACTAAGGGTGAAAACGATCTGAAACGGTCGGAATCTGTAGCATCTCTTCGAAAACGATTCTCGATCGGCTGTTAATTGACCATATTTATCATTTAAACTACTCAGTATCGACATTAATATGATACAGAAAGAAATTCGAAAAAAAAAACAAAATTTAAAAATAGCCAAAAAGGTACGGTCGGAAACGGTACCCCTTAAATGGAAACGACACCCGGTCGATCGGGAATTTCCGGCACCTAACTGTTACAATTTTCTTTGCTAGTACAAAATACTTCCAACCTCAAATATAATACTACCTTAGTTTTATATTATAAATCGTTTTAACTTTTTTTAAGTTAATTTTTTTCTTTGATCAAGTTTATAGAAACATATAGCAATATTTTTAACATAAAACAAAGAATCTATCAAAATATATCCAATATTAGATTTAATAAAATTAAATTTGTGCTATAAATGCTACTATATTTTTATATAAAATCAAACTTTCAGATAAATTAACTTAAAAAAGTCAAAACGACTTATGTGATATGAAACGGAAGAAATACTTATAAAAAGGTATGTTCAAGTGGGCCATTAAATGGGCTTAACTTTTTCAAGTTGTGTTTCCAACTTCCCTGGGCCCGGACAAAACTTCCGGACTATTTAGATTGTAGCCAAAATAAACTTTACCAAATTTTAGCAATTTAACAATATTACCAAGTTTTGGTAGGATTACTTATGTATTTACTAGAGTTTGGTAGAAAACTAAATAGATGCATATATTTAACAATTTTATAAAAAAAATAGTATGATTTGAAATGACATCAATCTAAACAACCCCTTCATGCTCCGGTGACGCTTCGTGCGCTCCCCATCAATGTATGTACGTACTACAGCCAGATCGAGTTAGGCGCACATTGCTCCTGATCGACTATATGTGCTTGTTCCAACACCTTCATCGGACACTAGTTATTTTGTTGCTAAACACAATCTAAAATCATCTTTTTAGAGAGCTAAACAAGTCTTGACGTGAACGCAAATGTCTTAGATCACGCACAGTACAGCAGTAGCAAATGTCTTAGATCACGAACAGTACAGTACTTGTCAAGGCAATCGATCAAGAGATTAGCCCTTTTGAACTTCTTTATTCAAACACGCGGATCAATGTATCAGAAAAGAGCAAAGAAATTACAGCCGATCATCGACTAGCAGTGGAGCCCAAGAGGTTGGAATTTACATAGGGTGGAGCTAGCACAGGTTATGGAGAGCTACTTAACGAAAAAAAAACTCCAACCACAAAGCCAACGAGGGAAAGAAACATGATCACCACAAAATCAGAGAGGCCAACAACAAACCGAGCTGCCGAGTCCCCGCTCTTCCATGCATCCAGAGACGGGTTCTTGCAGGATGGAAGAAATCAGAGCTTGCTCGAAAGTGAGGACGTCATCGAACACTCGAGCGTTCCGCTCCTTCCAAAGACGCCATATCATGAGGATGACGAGTGAGTCGAAGCCACGCTTCCACGCCTTGGACAGAAGCTTCCTTGTAGTAAGCCACCACTCTAGCTAACAAGATTGGCACCAACCTAAATGTTGGCATCAAGAAGCATCTGTTGCCAGAGATGCCACGAGTATCCGTAGGCGATCAAGATGAGGTTCGTAGTCTCGGGCTTAGAACTACACAACGGATACAGGAGTGGCTATCTAAACGTCTGCCAAGCGGTCCATCATCCAGCTCCAGCATCAGCCATATTGAAGGCTAGCCATGCAAGGATAGAACTTGAATTTCACTGGCGCCCAGGTTCATCATAGTTGCTTCCAGCAGGGGATGGTTTTAGAAAACAAAATGGAAACTGTAAAAATTGGAGCACTATTTTCTTCGCTAATTAGACAATCAAATTATGAGAAGCGTTGCTGGTGTTGTGGTACAATCGTGCTTGTAGACCGCACTCACCACGTTTTAAATTTTGATTTCCACAAATATTAATGTGTAATGATCGTATTTGTGGAGGTCTGAGTGCAAAATCAAAATCTTTAGTGCCAAGCCCACACGGCCCCATCGCCTATGTTCACTTAGGATCAAGATTTACTTCCTACTTTGTCTTATGACCCAAGGCCCAGACCATTTGCAGTAGTTTTGCACTCCCTCTCGTGCAATGTTTTGTGGGCCGCACCAGCGCGTTTCCTGCTTCAATATTTCATCCGCGTGCACGCAATCGGAATATATTAATTGAAGCCAAAATCTACAAGCACGACTGTGTGCACGTACGATCCCAATTATCCCTAAGATCGAACGGGATCTTTAGCACAAGAATTGATGACTCCTTGATAGTAGTTTCACAGCTCATGCATACTTAGCCCTATATGTACGTACGTACCCCATGTACTGGGTGAGTTAGGCACATGCACTGTTTCTAATAATCAACTATATATATACGTACTTGATCCAAAACCAGCGCCACTAGTTTGCTTTTTTGCCACGCAATCAATCAGAATATTTAGCACGTTAAAACGGAAAGACAATCCTTTCATTTAAGTTTTAGATATATGGAGACTTATTTGTAGTCCATCTGATTTGAAAAAACCATGAAATGAAATATATAGGACCAAGACTTTTGGACAGAGAGAATAACAAAAATATAGCCACTGCAATGTTCAGCTGTATAATTGTAGCCACTGCAATGAAGCCATATAACTGCTACGCTAACACAAAGTACTATGAAAGATGGCCGCACCATATTTCAAGTGGTGCAGCCGAACACACCTATAGTATTCTAAAGGCAAAACACTATATAGGGAGGAGGGGTGTTTTTATTGGGATGTTGGGGCAGCCAGGCCGCCTCTAGCTCGCTTCACACCTGGCTAACCTAGTATTAGAATCATATTCTAGTAGAGTGAAAAAGGACATTTATTTTCACCACCCTAGGACTGACACTTCAGATTTATTTAGAGTGAACACACGTGTTGTTTCACCCAATAAAAGAGTTAATTTGTTATTGGGTGTTCAAAATTATTTGCTGAATTGCAAGAATTCAAGCTAGATATAAATCATCACTCCACAATGGCGCCCTCCAAGTCCTTCATAGGGCATGTTTGGAGGAGTTTCTAACTGCTACAACTTTTCTCAAAATTAGAAGCCCTCCCAAACAGTACAGTTTTTGTCCAGATTCTGAAAAGCTATAATTATAGAATTCAGAAAATGAACTAGAAGCCATAAGTTGGGAAACCAGCTTTTTCAAATTCTCAAAAACTAACTACCAACCAGTTGCTTCTCATAATTTTAAGCTCCACCAAACAGACCCATAGTGTTCTTCCTTGCCACTACTCCTCTACTGTTGGCTTTCGCCAGCGACCAGACCACCAATGCCCCACCCCCACCAGATTTAGCAATGCAGTGTGCCGTAGGAACCATGACATGTCTCACCGATTGCATCCGTTCTACTCTACAATTTCAGCAGCCCTTTGGTCCTAACTTCGACCGCTGCTGCTCGCTGATCTTAGAGCTCCAGAACAACATCGCCGCCAGATGCATGTGCGGCGTTCTCACGGTCGGAGGAATACCCATCACAGTCAGGAGCTCTTATGTAGATGGAATCCTCGGAGAACATGACACGGTTTTCTTCGCTGTCGACTGCAGCTAGGGGTGAAAACAAAGCGGATTCGGACATATAGTGATCATACCATAGCCTAAACCATATTTTTAAGTGGATTCAGAGCGGGTGCAGATGGTACGCGGAGAGGATTGTTTTGGATGTCAGAAATGGCACGGAGTCAGTTCGGAAACAGATTAAATTTGTCGGATGTTACATGTATATGCAATCAATACAACATCAAGTTAGCAATGCAAGGGACAACAATACAATAGTCAATAAATGACCCATCGAAATAATTATGTAATTAAGTGCTAAACAACATAAATATATAATGTCCATAATATAAAAACGTAGCTACGAAGTGTTAGATGAGAGCATGAAAGCCTCAAATTAAAGAGCTTAGGTTAATTGATAAATTAGGACATTGGATGGCTCATGGCTCATGTTATATGCAACATATAGAGTGGTTACATGAGTAGATAATTTCAGATTATCCGGCAAATGTCCTATCAGATAATCTATTAGAAAGATTGGATAATCCGCATCCACACCATAATATCCGTATCTGCATCTATATCCATCGGATTTTTAAAAGCCCATACCATATCCTCATTGTGGACAGATTCAGAGTGGATTGGATCGGATATTATGCGATCCGTTTTCACCCCTAAGTCCTTGTTCGGTTAATTCCTATGAGGGAGGGATTGGAGGGGATTTATTCCACATCTATTATGGTGTGAAATTATTTCCCCACTCCCCTCCAAACCGAATAAGGCCTAAATGCAGCATAGCCTAGCCAACGGCCGGGTAAATAAGCATGTATGCCCCCACTGGCGCCTATTAATTACTCCACTCTAAACTATTTTATGTTGCATGTACTGTAGTATGTTACTCGTACTTACTTTGATCTTGGTGTCCTGTAGCTTGACGCTTCTAATCGACTACCAGCTGTGTATAGCATCGCTGTGCTAGACAGCTGGCTATCAGGCTTGTACGAAATATACAGTGTTGAATAATGTATTGAATAATGTACTCAACGCATGTGTGCAATCTATGTGAGATTATGTGCAGAGATCGAGTTTGTGGCACGAGTTGTACTATGAGAAGAGAATGAGGTGTATGGAGTTAAGCTAAACTAGAGACTGACAAATGTATTTGTTAATCAGTGCGCCAAAATTCAAAAAGCTTTCCGTTTTCTATTGACTTAAGCTACACCAACTTGCAAGCTACATACCTATAAATACTACAAGGCACATACCCTAAAAGCATCAAACACACATATTCCAACAATGGCAAGCAAACGGGCAATGAACTCTGCCTTGTTCTTTGCATCAGTTATTTTGGTCTTGGCTTCTGCCGTCAACGGGGGACTAGTGCTACATGGCCATAGCCCATGCCTAGCCACGGCGCCAACCCCGACCGAAACTCCAGCCCCAGCACCAGCCCTGGTGGTGCCACCGACGCCCGCACCAACTCCGGTCCCGACACCATCACCAGCGCCGCCTCCCAAGTGCCCGCTGCCGTTAGCTGATCTTGGTGTGTGCCTTAATGTTGCTCTTGGCAACCAGCTCTTGAACCAGCAGTGCTGCTCGCAACTCTCCAGCCTCCCGAGCGACACCGCCGCTTTCTGCCTTTGCGAGGCCATCAAGGTGAAAGCCCTCGTCAATCTGAAGGTCAATGTCCCCAACATCCTAAAAGCATGCGGCAAGGTTTCCGCTGTAACTTGTGTTAATTAATCAGTACGTTGAGAGATAGCGTGCATGCATATATACGTAAGTATACGTATGTATGTACATGCTATATATAGGCATGCAGCATCTATATATGTTGCGTGTTTGCCTCTACATATATGCTGTATTAAACTTGGATGACCCAATATATATCTGCCAGCAGCGTGCGTGCGCGTACGTGCCGTTCTTCATTGAGGTAGCTATAAGCTAGGGTCTTAATATCCATGTATGTTTAAGAATAATAAAGTTATAAGATCTGGGACTGTGCTATATGTGTGTGCACGCGCACACACACACATGACTTGATCATATTACGCGTTATTATGCGTACGTGCTAGCCTGGAAGAATTAATTTTGTACTGATCTGTGTGTATGCATGCATGCCTACAAAATCGAAATATAGTGGGTACAGGTGTATGATAATATTTCCTCGTTTCCCTCTTCATACTGATAGCTACTCCTTTCGTCCTTATATTATAAGAGCTTTGATATTTTTTTAAGTCAAAACTTATTTAAGTTTGATTTAAGTTTAAAGAAAAATATAGCAATATTATCAACACAAAACAAACATATTATCAAAATATATTAAATATTATTTTTAATAAACTAATTTGGTGTCGTTTACAATGTTAAAGAAGTTTGACTGGAAAAAATAAAAACAAATTATAATATAAAATAAAGAGAGTGCTATTATATTATGGTCTGAAAATGATTTACCTAACTCCTGCTAACCCCCCTCCCCCAAGACAAAAGAGAAGACTTGTTCCACCATGTAAACTTCACCAGTTCTTCATGTACACAGCTACACAAGTTCCCCCATTGGAAGGCGAATGCACGAAGATGGGAACCGGAAATGGTGAATCCAATGGCAGAGGTCAGAAGCTTAAAATTTGATAACAGCTCTCAAACGAAATCGAGATAGCTGCTACAATTTTCTTTGCTGGTATAAAAATACTTCCAACCTCAAATATACTACTGCCTCTGTTTTATATTATAAGTCGTTATGACTTTTTTCTAATTTAATTTTTTTCTTTGATTAAGTTTATAGAAAAATATAGCAATATTTTCAACATAAAACAAAGAAACTATCAAATATAGTCAATATTAGATTTAATAAAATTAAATTTGTGCTATAAATGCTACTATATTTTTCTATAAACTTAAACAAACTTAAAAAAATCAAAACGACCTATATAATATGAAATGGAAGTAGTACTTGTAAAAAGCTATGTTCACTTGGCCATTAAATGGGCTTATTTTTTCAAGTTGTATTTCCAACTTCCCTGGGCCCAGACAAAACTTAGTGCTCCGGTGACACTTTGTGCGCACGCCCATACATTACATCTGCGTACAGGATCAGCACAGTACTGAAGAGGGAAGACTCTTCTCCACTGTTTCAATGCTCTCAGCAAACTTGCGTCGTATGTATGTGCCCCATCAATGTTTTCTTTAAATAAATACAGCAGGGAGGCCCTCGATGTTAAAGAACTTTATTAATAAAAGGATGACCCCATCAATTACATACTACAGCCGGATCGAGTTAGGCGCATACATTGCTCCTGATCGACTGTACGTGCTTGTTCCAACACCTCCATTTGACACTAGTTCTTTTGTTGCTACACATGATCTAAAATCATTTTTTAGAGAGCTAACAAAAGTCTTGACGTGAACGTTATTGTCTTAGATCACGCACAGTACAGCGGTAGCAAATGTCTTAGATCACGCACAGTACAATACTTGTCAAGCTAGGCAATCGATCGAGAGATTAGCCCTTTTGAACTTTTTTATTCAAACACGTAAGAGGCCTTGCTGATCAATGTATTAGAAAAGAGCAAAAACGAAAAAAGAAACACACTAGTAGTGGCCCAAGAGGTTGGAATTTACTTAGGGTGGAGCACAGGTTATGGAGAGCTAAAAAAAAACTCCAGCCACAAAGCCAACGAGGGAAAGGAACAGGATCACCGCGGAAATAAGAGAGGCCAACAGCAAACCGAGTTGCATGAGTCCCCACTCTTCCATGCATCCAGAGACAGGTTCTTGCAAGATGGAAGAAATCAGAGCTTGCACGAAAGTGAGGACGTCATCGAACACTTCGGCGTTCCGCTCCTTCCAAAGACACCATATCATCAGGATGACGAGTGAGTCGAAGCCACGCTTCCACGTCTTGGGCAGAAACTTCCTTGTACTGAGCCACCACACCAACTAGATTGAGGCCGTGTTTAGTTTCTCCCCTATTCCTAACTTTTCATCACATCATATCACATTAAAAACTTTCCTACACATATAAACTTCTAACTTTTTTTTCAAACTCCCAACTTTGTTCAAACTTCTAACTTTTTTCAGGAACTAAACACACCCCGAGTGATTGGTTGGGGCACCACCCTAAATTCCGGCTGCAAAGCATCATATGTTGCCAGAGATGTCACAAGTATGCATAGGCGATCAGGATGTGGTTCATAGTCTCAGGCTCAGAACCACACAGTGGATACACGAGTGGCTATCTAGACCTTTGTCTGTCAACCGGTCCATGGTTCAGCATTAGCCATTGAAGGCTAGCCAAGGATTGGATTCCGGTCTAGTGAATAGGGTATATCTAAGCGCCCACCCGAGATTGGACTCGAGGGTGGGTAAGACCCGGAAAGAGTTTGTCCACGAGCGGAGGCCCCTCGAAGAGGCGAGCCCAGAAACCACTCGTTTTTTTAGTACCCAAAACTCTAGTGTTTTAAAGTGAGAGGGATTCTCCCGGCCATAGTGATCCGGGAGTCCCGTGTGCTCTAATCCTCTGAGCTACAGGCCCACCCCGTCTCCACTGGATCTCTTCCCGGGGGTACCCCAAAAGGAACCTCCCTCTCCTCAGCCATTTCATTTCGGGTTAAGAAGATGGGAAAGCCCCTTTCTCTCTATAAGAACAGTGCGTTCCGAGGTGTGAAGTAGGAGAGAGGGGATGTGATGATTGAGGTTTTGAATAAGACGACCTTTGCATTTTGGATTTGGATCTTTTTCGTATTTCAAAATAGTGAAAAAGTCAAATAAGAGGTGTTAAGCTTTTTATCATTCTGGCATCGAGCTATTTTGCCGCAGGACTCCCCTACAGTATCGTCACCGCAGTAGAGTTTAACCACCAAATTCGGGATGGATTGGTGTGGTTCCTCTACGCCTAGGACACCAGAATATCGAACCATGAACGAGGAAAGGCATGAGAGAAATATTGGCTAGTAATTGTGAAGCCCCAATTCTTGACTGGAAGGGACACCAAAGGCCTCTGCCGGATGGGTAAGAGATTACCTATGGTTAAACTCTTCACAACTTATCAATGGGTATACGGCCCTATCGTCTAGTGATGCCCCTATCGTCTAGTGGTTCAGTACTTGAACTTCACTAGCGCCCAAGTTCGTCGTAGCTGCTTCTAGCAGGGGAAGGTTTTACAAAACAAAATGGGAACTTGAAATGGGAATTTTAAAAATTGGAGCACTATTTTTTTCGCTACTTAGAGAATCAAACTCTGAGAAGCATGGTTAGTGTTGTGGTGCAGTCGTGCTTGTAGCTGTATACTGCACTCACCACGTTTTATATTTTGATGTCCACAAATATTATTAATGCGTAAGGATCGAATTTGTGGAGGTCTGAGTGCAAAATCAAAATCTTTGGTGCCAAGCCCACACGGCCACATCCCCCATGTTCACTTAGGATCAAGATCTACTTCCTACTTTGTCCTATGACCCCAAGGGCCAAGGCCCAGAACATTTGCACTCCCTCGTGCAATGTTCCATGGGCCGCACCAGCGTGTTTCCTGCTTCAACATTTCATCCGTGTGCACACAATCGGCTAATTCACCTGGCCCAATTATCCCTAAGATCGAACTGGATCTTCAGCACAAGTATTGAGATGACTCCTGGATAGTTTCACAGCTTCGCATGCATACTTTCAGCGAACTTGTAGCCCTATATGTATGTACTGGCTGAGTTAGGCACGTGCACTGTTTCTAATCAACTGTACATACGTACTTGATCAAGTCCTTGACAAATATGCGGATTGATTGTGTGGCAAAAAAGAAACTAGTGGCTGTATAAACGTGTACAGCGTACTCTTCAGAAGAAGTAAAGACTTGCAGTATATATTATATTACGGTCTGGCAAAGTACGTATAGACAAAACATCATGCATGCCCAAGGTACCAACCGCTATATCATGCACGGATTCGATGCTTCCTAGCCTCCTAGGCTATAAATACTACACATCTCAATGCCTAACATCAACCTAGAAATCGTCATCCGCGTTCACTCATCGAAAGCAAACAACAATGGCGCCCTCCAAGTCCACCATGCCGTTTTTCCTCGCCATTTGGTCTTGATCTCCTGCTGGCTTTCGCCAGCTGCCAGACTACCAATAATCCCCCACCATCGCCTTCACTAAAGGCCTTCACAATGCAATACCGTGGTATTCAGCCCGAGCGGCACGCACACGTCGACAAATTCTGAGAAATCGATGCCACGTTTGCATCTGGACCTACCAAAACGAAGGAATCGTATCAAGCGGAGCCTCGCCGTCTGCATCGGTTATGCACTATGATTTTTAGCCACCCTTTGGACCTAACTTCGACCGCTACATGCATGGGTAGAGTTAGAATGAAATGGAGGAGGGTGTCTATTGCTTAATTTACTTAACTTTAGTTTAAGTTTAAGCTGATACAGGTGTCTAAGTTTGTATTTAGGGGGTGCACACATGGTGAAAATTGGTGAGGTATAGCTAAAAAAATTTCTTGACCGGGTTTCTTGCCACCTCCCTCCCATACTCTACCTCCACCCCTGGCTGCATGCTTGGCTATCTCCGAGCTCCCGAACAACGTCGCCACCAGATGCGTGTGCAGCGCTCTCATGGTCGGAGGAATATCCATTACCATCAAAAGAGCGATGTTCTGGTGCTCAATTATACTTTGTCATTTATATTTTTTTCCGGTGTCCAACCTACTACCTCCGTCTCAAAATATAAGGATTTTTAGTTATAAAT